TGCCTGGAAAAGCGACCACAGGCCCTGCTTGGGAGCCCGGTGTCCCGCCTCTGCTGAGTGGCGCTTAGAAAATGCCACAGCGTTCATTGACCTCAAGGCCGACCGTGCTCCCCAGCTGTGCCGCGTGAGACCAGACGGAGGCGCCAGGCGCACCGCTGCCCCTAACCCGCCTGTCCTCCTGACCCTCCCAGGATACCTGTGCTTGTGCGTGGAGAAGGACGAGCTGCTGGGGAGCACCCTCATCCTCACGTGGGTCCCCAACTCTCGGATCCAGAGGCAGGACGAGGAGGCATTGCGTTACATCACCCCCGAGAGCTCCCCCGTGCGCAAGGCACCCCGCCCGCGGGGCCGGCGCGCCCAGAGCCTGGGGGCCCCCCGCCAGCCCTCCCCGACGGAGGCCAGGCCCGCCCTGATCCCCAGAGACGAGGACACCGCGGCGGTGGCTCAGAGCGTCCAGGACGCCGTGCACGTCAGCCCTTCCCCCCCTTCCGAGGACGGGGAGAGGCTGGCCCAGGGCTTGGGGACGGCCCTGCCACCAGCCCACAGCGACTCCGGGATCCTGTCGGCCGTCAGCTCGCAGGATGGGACCGAGGAGGGGCGGGAGCCGCGGCCCGAGGCCGGCGAGGAGGAGGGCTCCCTGGAGCTGTCCGCCGAGGGCGTGAGCAGGGACAGCTCCTTCGACTCGGATTCCGACGCCTTCTCTTCGCCCTTCTGCCTCTCGCCCATCAGCGCCGCCCTCGTGGACAGCGGCAGCTCCGTGTTCCTGGACAGCGAGAGCGGGTGAGTCCTGCGTCCGTCCGACCCCCAAGGCTCCACCCGGGCCTCCTGGGGAGCAGTCGCGTGTGTCACAGCTCTGCTCCCTGAGCGTGAGGACCGCGTGCGTCTCGCCCCGCCAGGGTCCTGCTCTCCCGGCGCCAGGGCCCCGGCACCCGTGTCCCGTCATTTGACGGAGCTCAAGGGGGTGGTGAAGGCGGCACGGTGCGGGGGAGGGTTCCACCTGCTCTCCCCGTCCCTTCCCCTCGGCGGCCTCATGTGGGATAAGCCGTCCCTGCTCCGTAACGCAGACTGGATGCCACGGGGCCAGGCCCGGGGAACCTTGGGGGACAGTAGACTGTTGGCCGTCAGAAAGCATGCTCGGAGACTTCCCTGACTCCCGCAGCCCTTCCTACGCTCTGGTCCCTGCTCCCGTGTAGATTCCTAGGGAACCACTGGCGACTGCTGTCATTCAGCCGGCACACAATTATTACACTTGATCTTAGCCAAAAGGCCGAGAAGCGATTGCCGGCACACAATTATTGAGCTCAAGCTGTGAGCCCCGCACGTGCTGGGTGTGGGTGGTCCAGCATCGTCTGGGCACCGGGCACGTGTGCCCCCGATGACCCACGACCACCCCGAGCCCCGTGCGGTAGGTCCTAACATCACCCCCGTCTGCAGGGAGGGAGAGCGAGGCTCAGAGAGGTGAACTAACTTGCCGGACGTCACAAAGCCAGTACGCTGGCCGAGCTGGGATTTGAATCCGGCTGGGTCTGCCCCAGACCCGGAGCACGTAAGGTCACGCGGGACGGACGTAAGCCGGGGCGCGGAGGAGAAGGAATTTGAGGGAAGGGATTTGAGACGGAATCTTTCCTGATGTTGTCCCCTCCATAAGGTGTGTTCCATTAGAGCCCAGGGGGACCGATAACCTTTGTCTCAAGTGCTGCAGAGCAGAGAGCGTTTCAGGCGGAGCAGTCGGCTGGACCCGGTGAGGTTCACTGAGCTGTGTGTATTTCCCCCCAGGGAACCAGGCTGGGAATGAAACTGAGCCTGGCTTCCCACCGCGGGTCTTGGTCAGAGCCCCCCCTGGTGGTGCCATCTGCCAGTGCAGCGATACCTGTGGGTGCCCAGCACCCCCAGGGCCAAGGAGGAGGGACAGGTGTCCAGCACCCCCAAGGCCCAGGTAGAGAGAGAGGGGAGACAGGTGTCCAGCATCTCCAGGGCTGAGGCGGAGGGAAGGGAGGGACAGGTGTCCAGAAACCCCTGAATCTCAGTGGAGAGAAAGGAGGGACAGCCGTCCAGCAGCTCCAGGGTGCAGGCGGGGGGGACAGGTTCGGCTGTCCCCTTTACTCTGAGCCAGGGGTGCCGGGCCTGGCCTGTGGCCTCATGGCTGAGGTCTTAGTGGCAGAACCCAAATCAGGGCCTGGAGTCCCGATCAGGCCTTGTAGGGCCCCTGATCACGTAAGGAGCTTGGATCTGGGAATTTGGGAAACCTGGTTGGCTTGAGCCTGGGAAACCTCCGTGTCTCCTTGGAGCTTCTGTCTCCTTGTTCCTAACGTGGGGTAGTAACATCCATTCTGTGGTTACCCGGTGAATTCACTCCTGGCTTCCTCTTTCCCCTCCCTCCGCCTTGCTGCTTCCCTACCCTGGCTGCCCATGAGAATCCCTCAGGGGACCTCTTATATGCTCCTGATGCCCGGGCAGTTCCAGATGATTCTGGAGCAGTGATTCTCTCCTGGGGCCGGTTCTGCTGTAGGAGACATGTGGCAACATCAGGACACATTGTGGTCACAACTGAGTGTGGGCGTGTTTTTGGCATCTGGTGGGTGGAGGCCTGGAATGCTATTCACTAAGTGCCCCAAAATACTGGGGACACAGCCGCCCACGACACAGTGATCCTGCCCGAATGTCTCAGTGCCCAGGCTGAGCACCCTTCCCAGCGGCTCTGACCGCCCCCAGACGACCAGGGAGGCCCAGAGGGGGGAAACTGTCTTGTTTTTCTAATTGTGGTATAATAGACCTAACATCAACTTTGCCACTGTGGCCATTTAAAATCATGCAGCTCCGTGGCATTTAGCGCATTCACGGTTCGTCCACCGAAGACCGCTGTCTGGCCCCAAAATGTTTTCCTCGCCCCGGAAAGAAACTCCACACCCACTAAGCGGTCACTGGCCAATGCCCCTCCCCCAGCCACCACCCGTCTACCTTCTGTCTCTGTGGGTTTGTCCGTTCCGGACGTTTCGTATCAGTGGAACCATACGGTCTGTGGCCTTTTGTGTCCGAGCATCGTGTCCGTGTCATTGCAGGTGTCAGGACCTCGTTCCTGTTCGTGGCTGACTAATATTCCAGGCGATTCTGACTGTGGTCGGATAGGAGAGCCCACCCTCAAGGGAAAGCAGGGGAGTGGGTGTGGGGTGCAGGGGGGTTGGCCACCGTGTGAGGAGGTCTTCTTGTAATAATGCTTTGGGGGCCGTATTTTTGCTTTCCGGCCCCCAGCCCCACCCAGGTCAGCTTAGGGTCTTCTGTGCTTAGAGCTGCTTCAGAGACGGTGGGCCGATCTCTGGGTGTGTGCAGGGGCCGTGGTGTGGTCAGGGGGTGCCTCCTCCACCAGGGAGCCCTGGAAATCCGTAACGCTTGCTCCTCTGGCCCGAATCAGTCCGGTTAGGCTGAGGCTTTGTGCTGCAACGGGACCCACACGGACAGCATCCCTCCCTGCCTCCTGGCCTGGAGCGTGTGTGCTTCTCCCGGGGCTGACGGGGAAACAGCCTGTGTCCCAGGCGGGACCTGATAGGTGTTCTCGACCCAGCCGTGCGTGACAGGTCGTCGGGAGCTTAAAAAAGCGGATGTGCATTGTGGAAGACGCTGGGGGCAGGCCCTGGAATCTGCATTTTTCATAGGCGGACGGGAGCCAGATCTGGGCACTGGGCCAGTCCCTGCAGTACACGTTTGCTTCTTTACTCTCTGAGCCACGTGTGCGATCCCGTCTCCCCCACCACATGGGGGACCCCTGGAAACAAAAATGGTGTTCCTCGGCTCCCTCCCCCTCCCCCGCCCCGAAGTCCTGGATGGGGCTGGAAATCCTGGACTAAACGGTCGGCTCTATTGGACGTTGTGGAACCCACCTGGCCGCAAGGGAGGGCAGCGTTGGGCTGCCTTGAAAAGGCCCGATGCCCAGGGGCTGCCCGGACCAACTAAGCCAGCACTGCTGGGAGTGGGGCCCAGGCGTGGGCGGTGTTTGAATCCCCCAGGGAGCTCCAGTGTGCAGCCTCGTTGAGAACCACAGCTCTGAAGGGGACGGCAGGAACAGGGGCGTGGTCCTTGTGCCTTGGACAGGGGGGCGTCTGAGCTGAGGTCCGGAGTGCCCGCACTGGTTGGAGCAGACACCCCGCAGCGGGGCTTGGCTTCGAGGACTGCAGTGCACCCATAGCCCCTCCTGGAACCAAGGCTGCCAACTTAACTGGGAACTGGGTCCCTAGGAGGGGTGCAGGCAGGCTGGCTCACGGGGTCCCTCTAGTGGCAGAACCGGAGAACTACATGCGGAGGCTGTGCTTCTGGCTGGGGGAGAACCAGGAGAGTAGCTCCTGTCTCTTAAATCGAATGTCTTCTAGGACGCCTTCTTCTTCCTTTTTTTTTTTTTTTT